GATCTCAAAGACAGATAGCACTAAGAAGGCAAGTGGGTAGCAAGGAGACTTCCAGGGAAAGAAAACAACGTGGCAGGAAAGAGCACACCATGTTTGAGAAAGGGAAGTAAGATGAGCGATGCTGAAACAACAGAGAGAACGAGGGGAGGTGATATAGGCTGAAACTAGAGTAGTAATAATAGCAATAATAAGGATGATCATAGAGAACATTTTTGAACACTCAGTAAATCCTAGGCTCTTTCCAAAGCACTTTACATTCATTAATTCTCATTGTTGTTATCTCTATTTTAGAGGTGAGGCAGCAAAAGCCAGAACATGCAAGGTCTAGAGACAATGTTAAGGAATATGTCTTTCATAGGTGCAAGTAAACTGTGGTCACTGAGCAGCTTTAAGCAGACTGGAGATAGAAGGTTGAGGCACAAAGATGTGTGTTTTGAAAAAATGACTCTCATTTCTACATGAGGAATGACTTGGAAGAAAATGTAGAGACTATGGAGGACATTACGGTCATGCAGTGAGAGGCGATGTCAGTGCAGAGTGGTATGGTAGCAAGGAAGGTTAGAGATGTGGACAGATTTAAGAACTTAGTAATGGTTGGGCATGGGGGTAGGGCAGGGAGGGAAAATTCCGGGATATCGACTGTTCTCCTTTCCCGTGGAGAGGGCACCAGGCTGTGAGGTAGATGCTGACTCGGTTTTGGACATGCTGAGCATAAGGAACTTTGGGGACAAAACAAAATATGAAATCAATTACTGTTTGTTTTAATGGGTTGAATTGAGATGCTCTCTACCCCCTATCAGGAGCTCTTCATGATTATAGTGCAGAATTAGGATATTGCTCTTCTATAGCTAAAAAGGGAGTGCTTTAAAAAAATTCTATGTGATTATTCACTGGTAAGCTGTACATATGGCCATTATCCCTCACCTCAGCGATAACTAAGATCTGTGCAAATCGGCTATGTTTTGATCATTACAGTGACGTCACAGTTCAATGGCTCATGTCCACCTAATTGTCCTTCTTTCCCAGTATCTTACTTGTATGACTTGATCAGTAGGTGATCTCTCTCACTAACCAACCTCAACTAATACAAGTCAAACTGATGCAATTCAGTCACCAACAGAGATACTCATAATCCTGACCCTTTAACTGCCTGACAAACACTGAAACACCTAATGGTACTGAGCTCTGTAGTGATGTCTGCCAACTCTCTTGGAGAATGGAGAGCTTTTGTAAATGGCAGGTCCCCTCATGTCCACAGATGGAAAGTTGGCAGTTCTGGTGTCATTGGTCCGGAATGATTCCTTTTAGAACAACAGTTATTAAACAGCTTGAAGTCACTGCTGACAAAGCTCTCAGTTTTGCCCACTCAAATAGCTCCATTATATACATGAGGAAGTTGAGGCACATATTTTATTCAAGGATATCCATCAGAACAACAGCATTGCACTTAGCTATAACTGACCTGGACTTTTATTTCCTTTTCCTTCTATGTTTATATTGCCTCAGTCACTTTCTCCAAGCATAACTTGCCTGGTTAGTTCCTTTCCCCTTGTCACTAGCAGTGTTCAGGCAAAAGCCATTCCTGAGTTAGAATCTTCATCTCCAGAACCTCCAGCCTCTCTAGACTCTCCAAACACATAAACGTCCTTGAGTCTAACTGAAGACATCTGAAGACCATATACTTAACTTATAAAAAAATAAAATATTGACCTATTGAGAGTTAATGCTCAAGTTGTTGAACAATAAAAACCATTAATAGGAAGAGCAAACTAAAATCTTTGTGGAAAATTAAAGCTGTAGTAACAAAGAAAAAGAAAAATAACGTAATCTGGTGGAAAGGAAACTGTCCTGTCAAATAAGAGATCTGCGTTGATACTCTCAACTTAGTTCTGCCACCGCTTAACTACCGATATGATACTAGACCAGACTCGTCCAACCCATGGCCCAAGGACTGCATGCAGCCAAGAATAGCTTTGAATGCAGCTCAACACAAATTTGTAAACTTTCTTAAAACATTATGATATTTTTTGTAGCTTTTTTAAGCTCCTCAGCTATCATTAGTTTTAGTATATTTCATGTGTGGCACAAGATGATTTTTCATCTTCCAATGTGGTGCAAGGAAGCCAAAACATTGGACACCCCTGTATTAGACTGCATCATGCTTCAGTTTCTTTTTTGTGTCAAAGGCAGAAGATAATTAATCTCATGCATTCTTCTCTCTAAAACAACTATTTAAAATACTCTATTCAATGTGATTTTAAAAATAAAAAGATTTGAATTTTTGCAAAACTGTGGAGAATTTACCAAGTGCTTTCCTCGAAGTTTTATCAGCAGATGAGTCTTAATGACAAGAGAAATAAAAGACGGCAGCAAAGCCAGGACGAAAAAAGCATCCTTAACCTCATGTATGCAGAAAGACAGATCCACCCTCACCAGTAGCAGCACAAAACTGTCTAGGACTGCTATGTGACATGACAGATATTCATGTGCTTGAAACAATGAGGTGATATGGACAGTTGGATAAGTCGGTTAATATTTGGCACCAGTCTTAGGTTTGGTGCAAACACTGCCAATACTCACCTCATTAAAAGGGAATTACTGTAAAAAATAGACTACCACTGCAGTTTCCACTAGAAGTTCATTCCTCTCTATTCCTTCTAAGATGCAAAGCAGTTCAGCACGCACAGTTGTGTCTCTTCTCTTCATTTTATGAGTGATACTGTCCAGAGTCACTGAAACTCTTAGTTCTTAAGGGAAGAGCGGATGGTGTTGTTGAGTTTACATCCTTTGTTAACGTCAAGAAACCAAGCCACATATTTTTTAATAATGAGAATCTGGATCAACTTCAATGGATATTTCAAAAATATATTCCAATTAAAGTATTTAATAGAGTCCTGGCTTTTTCTCTAGCCCCATCCCATCACCATATGTATCCAATAATTCAAGTTCTTTCTTCTCTTCCGATAAAAGTGAGAGTCACTGAAGTGTTTTGAAAGTTCAGTTTATCTGAAACCATTGTTTTCAAAATGTCAATAATAACCTTTCATACTGGCAAATTTTTAGTATAAGTACCAAAAAACCTACTATGCTGCACATCTAAGTAACCCATGCCGGCTTCCTGTGTCTGTGGCTGCCCAGCGATCACCCTCAATGATTACTCCATATCCATGTATATATACACATTAGGTGATTGTGCTCCAAGATGAAGGCTGAGTGGCTCTGCACACCTGAGTCACAGTGCCACCCAGTGATCCCATTCAATATTCACTGGGTACGTACTGGGTGCCAGGCCCTGTGGTAGATCTTGGGGATACAGCATTGAACACAATTGTTGTCATTAATGCCTGCCCTCTGAAACCGGCAATATCACTGCCAACCTTCTCTGACCAACCTCCATGATACAAACTCCTGCTTAGCTAGAGCTTGGAAAGGCAATGAGTAAAGCAAGGGCAGATAAGCAAAGAAGCCATCTCAGAACTAAATCAAATCAATGACACATTTTTGTCTACACAGCATGTTTATATAAATTTCCTCACACACACACAAAAATTATCCCTCTTTTGTAGATGAGAAAGCTGGAATGCAGGAATAGAATTAAATTGCTTCAAATTTAGAGAATTTGTGACCATCAAAGATAAGGGCCTAGATTTTCCTGAGTCCCTTTAAGCCCCTGCCTCTTAATGGCCATCCATGAGGGCTTCAAACCCGTGATGACACCTTGAACAACTATTGACTCTGCTTCTAATCACAGGTTTGTAGGGAGGAATACATAAAAGAGATGGAAATTCTGGATCACTTACTTCACCAGATCCCTGTGAAAATGAACAGTCTAATCATGTTTTAAATAATTAATTATCAGAAAGGCAATATTCCCTGGTCCTGACACAACTTTGCTTAAGTGTCTACATACAGGGACATAAGGGCCTTGAAGGTGAAGATAATGAGGATGATGAAGACGATAACAAGTAGTATTAAATGCTTACTATGATTTTAAATGGACGATCTCATTTAATTCAAGAATTCTATTTGTTTCTACTTTTCCATATAATGCAGAAGATAAAACTGGGTGTCAGAAAAGTTGAGGGACTTGACCAAGGTCACAAAGCTAGAAAGGATCAGTGATAAGAGCCTAGCCTAGACCTAGTCTGACTCCGGAGTCTATGCTTTTAATCACTATGCTCATCTTAAAACCTGACAGATTTCAGCAATTTAGGTTACAAACCTAATTCAGTGTGCAAAATGTTAGAAGCTCCTCTGAAAAGGTAATGTAATATAATACATGGGTGCCATGCCATCCTTAGACTAAACTAAGAATATCTGAAATAAGTCACGACCCATCTGGCCACAGGTTTCCCAACCTGAGCTGCAAGGAAAGAAAAACTATAAATTGGATAAAAAGCACAAAGTTCAAAGCAGTAGAGGGGGATGTCTATTTAGTCCACCAGCTGAGAGGGGTGTTGTTTTATATAAGCAAAAAAGGAAAGAACACAAGTTGCAAGGTTCAGATAGGCTTGCAGCAGCCCACTCCTCACCTTGAGACCTGACACAATTTATTCCCATTGTCCAGAGCGAAGATTTTGCTCATCACAAAACTTTTCTTATTCTAGGGAAAACTGAGAAGGCTACCATGAGGAATAAATGAAGTTATTAAGAAAATCTCTTCAAATACCAAGGCATATGTGAATGCTTAGCAATATTAATAATAATATCATCATTATCATAATAATATATCATGTAATGATGATATTATAAATACATAACCGCACTGTCAGGAAGGGTGAGAGCATTTTGAGTGCCAGATGAAATGCTGCCTTTGGACCCAGCTTGTTTACCCAAGTGGTGATGCTTTGGTTATTTACAGAGCTCCTGAGTTCTCTTCATTCCAGGAGAATTGGTATAACCCATATCTTGGCCTGAGGCCAGATGTGCTATATTCAGTTGAGCTCCCCACTCTGTCCCTGGCCCTGTCACTAAGCAGAGGCCTTGCTCCAGGGCTTTACCTTGCTGCTTCTGCATGGTGGTGAAGTCTTCGAAGGTAAGTGTGCGCACAGGAGGTCTCCAGAATGCATAAGTCTCCATGATGGCTTCAAGTCCGGTTCTGACGAGAGAAAAGCCAGCAAGGGAAGTCATAAATAATCTCAAGAAATGCAATGACTTTTCAAAGATCCAGAGGTAGACTGTTAAACAGGTAATAAAAACATAGGTACTAAGATCTACCACCATCAGGGTAAATTAGGGTGAAAAAAACTCAAGGTACAATGATACTGGACTGCAGGGGGAATAACAAATTAACGCAATTCAGATAATTTGCAAGCAAATCTACAACTATGATGGAATTTTATTCTGACCCTCCTTTAAAGGAGGCTTGGTCTGCAGGGGAAAAAAAAAGCATGGTAAGTGTTAAAGGTTAAGGCCACTAAAACCATGAGTACAGTTGTGGAGAAAGTAACATTGACTGTTTCTCTAGCACAGAACAATGTCGTCATCATTACCACAGTGCACTGACACAGCCTGACTGAGCGTCAGCTCCTCACCTTGGGTATGTACAGAATGAATGGAACTGTCAAACTGCTGTGGTTTTAATGTCTTCTTAAATCAACAGAGATGAGTAGGGCAACAGAAATAAAAGGAGAGGTAAGCAATGAAATACAGTTGGGTTTCTGCTGTAGTAAGAAACACCTACCTGAAGATAAAGAAAGGGCTTGGTCTCAGAAATTATGGCTCAGGCAAAAAGACTAATACATTTCTCTAAACATTCATCTGCATTTTAGTAACCTAATAATCAATCTGGTCTTTGATCATCACAAACTGTCAGAGTTCAGGAAGTATCTAGTATTTTACAAGTGCATTCCTTTAAGGCTCCTGGTTCATTTATATTGGAAATTCCATAAATTGGACCATGTGTATACTGTCTTTTTACCCTTCAATTAACTATGTCTCTAATACATATGCAAGTGTTGATATACATCATTTTCACATGATTATTGAGGTTATCTCAGACATATTCTTGCTGATATCCATACCCTCAAAACAAAATATCAGCTGGGGCTTTGTTTGAAGCTTTGAACACAGCTTCTAATTACTGATTTTTCTTTTTAAAAAAACTGCTTCACTTAACTAAATAGAGGGAGGAGAAGTGTGGGACTTGTGAGAAAGGTGGGAGGAGAATGGGAAAGAGCAGATGGCATAAATCTTTTCATTGCAAAGTCACTGGAAGGTGGGTGGTATGGCGTCCCTTCCTGAAATGGATTAGCTTTCCCTTTTGAGATGAAACTTCTGCTGCCTGTGCTTCTTTCTTGGTAATGTATTTCCAGAGTTCTCTTCAGCTTTACATAACAAGAATAAAGACATTTTATTTTAGGTGAGAACAAATATCCTTTACTTATCAACAACTATAGGAAACCCTGAGGTTGTTCTCAGATGAACTGTTGATTCGCTGATTGACTCTTTGTGTTGGAAAATTTCCTCTCTGAACAGGCCTCACTTGCACAGTTAACTTTCTAAAGTCTTCCCTGGAATCTTGGAGGCTTTAAATACACCAATGTTGGCAAACCAAACTCTGTATTTTAAGAAGAGGTTCAGACAAGAGAGTGTTGCATGGTGTTTATTAGCTGTTAATCTGTTAGAAGTAGGAATAGGAGACATCTCCACATAGTCACTCTACGTTAATGTTGAATACAGTACATGAAACTATTTGTGGAGAGAAAGAGCCCAGGCAATTAGGGAGTTCAGAATAATAAGGGGATAGGCAGATAAAGCCACACTGAGCCTGGATGGATAGAAGAAATAGATAGGCCAGGCTTAGGTCTTACTGCTTTGTTTTGGAATGTTGGCCACCCACCAGAATATCTTAGGATTCCCTTTAATGGCACAGGAGGCTCACTGAAAATGGCAGGGTCTTTATTGTTCCACCTCCTAGTTCATTCTTCCCAGGAACATGTACTGATGATGAGGACAAAATATTAGCTCAAGGACAAAGAACAGTCCCTTCTCAGTTCATAATAAAGTGCTAGAAGACTATGAAATTGCAATAATATACTGATACACTGCCAATGTTTTATTTGTTGAGTAAATAGAAAATGAACTTCATTTTCTATCCTAGTTCATTTTGTGCTGCTATAACCTACCATACGCTAGGTAATTTATAAACAATAAAGTTTATTTGGCTCACAGTTCTGGAGGCTGAGAAGTCCAAGAGCATAGTGCTGGCACTTGGTAGGGGCCTTTGTGCTGAGTCATACATGATGAAAGACGGAAGGTCAAGAGAGGGCAAGAGCAAAAGAGAAAGGGTCCAAACTCATTCTTTCATCAGGAACACACTCCTATGTTAATTAGCCATTCATGGGGCACAGCTCTCAGAACCTAATCACCTCTTACAGGTCCCAGCTCTCAACACTGTTGTATTGCAGATTAAGTTTGGAACATATAAACTTGGGGAAACATGTTCAAACCACAGCAGTTTCATTTTCATAATAGGCAAGAAGACTGTGACAAAAGTGTTAACAGTTTTATTTTATTTAAGCGGTTAACTCTATATAGAATAGTGACCATTTATTCATTAATTCAAATCTAAAATCCAACTAAAAGAACTGAGTTGTAAAAGCACAGATTTTAAATCTGGGAAGAATCTTGGATGTCATCTACTATACCTCTTATGATATCATCTTGAATGGTTATCCACCTCTGTTGGTATACATATCCCCAGGAAAATTTTCAGTTTTTTGATAGATCTGATATAAATTTCACCCTCTGGTTCCATTACTAATAAGTAAATAGTAAGAGGACAGGCATTTCCCACAAGGAGTCCACCTGCCACATCCTCAGCAGGGAGACCTTCCTTAGCTAAAGAACATAATGTACAACATGCCGCATATGGACACATATGTAATCCATCCAGGGGTCTGTCACAACAAGGATCAATTTGGTAGTGGAATTGTATGTGGAGGGTTATGGCTCCCAAAAAAGTAATGGCTAAGACCACACATGCCTAACCATCTTATTAATCCACAGTGGATGTATGTCTCATAAATATATCCTACATAGCATATATATATAAATTATTCTATAATAGAAATGATCCTATAATATATATTATCCTACGGAGAATAATATTGGTCTCATAGATTTATATTATTGATTTTATTTATGTATTCAGTGTGTATTGCTTTTTAGAAAAATTAATCCTATTCATTTACCATATTCCACCTCTTTTATTTGTCCTCAACCCTATTATGCTTCATTGGATAGATCTAATTATTAGAAGGTACTAGTTCTATAAATCAATATTTGGTGTAGTGCCATGCCAAGATTAAACAATTCACCTCTCTCCACCACTAGTATGTTCGCATCTCAAGGGCTTGGGTCCCATGTTCTTCTATGCCCAGTTTTCTAGCACAGTGCTGGTTACAGGGTAAGATCTCAAATGATATGCATTGAATTAATAAGTAGAGGAATTAATGCTTTATTGCTGAGTCATTCTTACACTTTAACAAGCATTCACTGTTCTAAGTCTAAAACTTAGGAACACAACTTGGTGTAAAATAAAGTCTCTGAAGACAGAAAAGATCCTCCAGTATTAGAGATTTGAGAATTGTTTCTATAGCTTATTGTGATTGTGCTTTTATTAACTTCAGGCTCAGAGAGGTTTGCATTTTCATTGTATTTTTTCCATTCCAGTCATAGAACTTCTGAGCTTCAGCAGAGTCTGAGTTCCCTCGCAGGGGCATCTTTTCTTATAAGAGTTCACCCCTCATCTTTTCTTATAAGAGTTCTTGCCAACCACCTATTAACATCTTCAGTCAGTTGGATGTCTAGTCAAAATTTACCCTGTGCTACATATTGTTTATGCATTTGTCATCCTTTTACCCTAGTTTTGTAAAATTTTATCTCCAAGTTTTTAAAAGTGAATTCATTGTCTAACAGGTGAAAAAAGCAGTCTTAGGTAATGGTATGCCATTAACGTGTTCCACATGGTGAGCCTCTCAGGTCTGCTGAACACCAGAGACCTGATGTCATCTCTGAGATTTCCAATCAGAGAGAGTCAAATTGGCAAGTGTCCCCCTCTTGCTCATTTTTCCCTGTTAGCTCCAGTGACAACACAGGCCGTATAATCACCTCTCTGGTTTCCAGACCTCTTCTCTTTAGGCTTTTCAGGCTGCTCACTGGCCAAGCCAACAGAATGTGCTGAAGAGAAGGGGAAAGAGGAAGAAAAGAAAGCAAGCCAAGGACCTCTTTTGCAAATTGATGATGCCTTGAAATCAATTTATTTGGAAAAATAGACTACAGAAAAAAAAAACCTTCCAACATTTTCAGTTCAAAAAAGATGGCAGGATCATTCCTTCAAAGTTCAACAAATATTTGATAAGTACAACAATAATTATAATAACTTTCATGACCCTACTTGGTAGCACTCCAATACATATTTCTGCTTTTCGTTTGTCTTGAGATAGGGAGTTGCTTTTTAATTTTTCCTTTGTTTATTTTCTCTTTAGTTCTGACTTCCTTAATTTTTACTCTTCCCCATACTATTTGCTGGTGACACTGGTAACAAAGGGAACATATGCTATGGGTTGATAAGGTCATTGGTCGTCTCTCAGTGGAAGATGGAAAAAGACTAAGGGAAGCCTACTGAGACAGAGGTCTTGAAGTAATAAAAGAGTTATCCAACCAGAAAAAAAATACTTATATGCTAAGTTCAGGAAATGTAAAGACAGAAAAGACACAGGGTCTCTACTCTTTACAACTGTCTTGTTTTTTTAAAAAAGGAACAAGATATAAATGACTAGTTTCTGAACTATGCAGTAAATGTTACACTGAAGACACGTATGCCAAGATGCCATGGAGTATTGAGCAATAATCACTTAATACACCTGAAAAACTCAAGGAAGATTCCACAAAAGGTCAGTTATTTAAGCTTACTATTAAAGAGTACTCAGCCATTTTTCATCTAGAAAAGAGGCAGGAAAAGTTTTTCTAGTAGACTTAACAGTATGTGCAAAGACTTGGAGGTATGCAAGAGAAAGTATGTTTTCAGGATATAGTTCAGGGTGACTGGAGCCTAGGGTACAGAATGGGAGAGGGGCAGTAGACATCATGAAC